TGCCCCATGCTAGACTGCTGTATCCAAGTCTTTCTGTTGCAAGTACAGGAGGAAAACTTTTGGTTGCTAAATCTGAACGGATTTTCATGAGGCCAGCAAAAGCCCCTGGCAATGTTAAAAAATGCACTGAAAATTCTGCAGGTATCAGAACACTTAAAAATTACAAAGTTTACTATAGAAATTGTTAGGGGGCTTGTATTTGACAGGCCAGGCTAGTGTGTGTGTGGCTGCCCAGGCTAAGAGACTTTGACTAGCATTAACTTGCTATGGTTTTTCCTCAGTCTGAATTGAACTGGCATATTTTTCTTTAGATGCCTGCCATACTCTTCATTAACAGCATGGTTAGGATTTTCCCTCTAGCCCTCAGGCCTTTGAACATTCCCTCACTGCCATGACATAGGATATGTCCCGTTCGTTACATTATTCTTTTTCAGAGGAATTCCTGTATGTTGAGCCATCTTTCTTATTGCTTTCAGGCTTTCGCCATACTTCTCTTCCTGTTGATTTTCAAGATCTCCTCAGCAGTGCACTGGGTCTCCAATGCATGCAAGCAATCATATAGGTATGCTTCCACGCAGGCTTGCCTGGGTGCCTGAATATCCTGACATATGTGCACATGAGCTGGGGGTTGCTTATGGACAGCTACATGTTTGCATGCCTAAAAGCATGGCTACACACTACAGCACTTTTATTCTCAAATAAGGACAATTATGAACATTTCTGCATGTGTCCATTAGATAACACTGCCCCTGGGTTTCTAATTCTGCAAAACTGGCAGCACCTCCTTTTCTATTATTTTGCATTCTCAAAACTCATCCCATTCTGCTTAGAACATTTGGGCACATCAGTCTCTGCATCATTTGCAAATTGTCACATACACTCTCTTTCTGTCCCAAGACCTATACCACCCCTGGTTGTCATTAGACATAGTGCTCCTGGACTGTCCTTGGGAAGGGTTCAGGGATACAAGTTAACCTGTATCCCCAAAACATGGAAGATATTGTAATTAACCATTTTGAAATGAAAACTTTGTAATTTTTACAAAAAAGTAGTAAAATGATACACCCTGAGACTTGGAGGCTAACATCCCTGCTTCAGCTTTTTATTCAAGCCAAATTTGCACTTGCAGAGCAACATCTACACTACAGAACTGCCTTAGCCAGGAGAAACATTTCATCGACCAACTCTCCTGTGCAATATAAAACATCTGACCAAGAAAGAGGCAAAATTCAACATCCTGCTTGCCATCAGCCATCAGACACCTTTGAGGTAAACAGACTACTCCAACTTTTATTCAAGCCTAATTTCCATAACATGAACTTTTCCACCAAGAGGAACTTATAACATCCCTCAATTCTCCTGTGTAATATGAAGCTTCATTTCTACCTGGGAAAAATGTTACAATCTTTGCATTCTCCTTTGCCTGAGGAAGGGCACATGAGCTTGCAAATAAAGGATTTTTTTTTCCAACTATCTAGTTGGTCCAATAAAAGATATCACCTCTACCAAGAGTTCTGACTTCTTGGAGAAGGGTGGAAGAAGTCCTGCTCTGAACCCTTCCTCCATGCAAAGCAGCAAAGGTTTCAGTGGTAAAAGGAAGGACTTTGGAAGCCAACACAAAAAGGAGAGCTAAACTTCTAATCCAAAGCCCACATAAGTCAAAGAGAGTTTTTCCAACTGGGCTTTGAATCAGGCCCAGAAATGAGACAAGGAAGAACTCTCACACTGCTGGAAAAAAAATCCTGTACAGAAACATGATGGGTGAATTTCATCAGCAGCTACTGAGTGCAGTACTTGGTAGTATCTCAAACTGACATTTCCCCCTTTCAGTTACTATATTAGGATGTGCTATTGTTGCTAGGTTGGTTAGTGTAGTTGCTAGCCTCATTTCATCAAAGGTCTACACTTACCTTTACTGGTTAAGTCACTACCTCTTGCTGAATTCTTTATAAATGGGTCACATTCACAAGCACCATAGCAGCCCTAGATAGAGCAGGGACTTTGGGTATTCACTTGCATACATAACCTAACCCTTTCAGGCATCTCTGATCATCACTATACTCCCGAGTTGGAAATCTGAGATGAACATTGACAATACAAGAGCATATAGATGCATTTGTTTTTCAATTTGCAGGGGAAAGCTGCTGTTTTGTCATTTTGTTCTAGTTTAATGCATTGCGAGCAACACAATGGGACTAAAGATTAAAAGCAGAAAGGGATCAGCAGAAAACACTTATCAGAATAGACTTTGTCAGCTGGAAAGACAAAATAGAAAAAGATAGGGTGAGCAGCACTGACAGGAACATTCATAAAGAACATGAATATTTTCAGACACAGTTAAAACATTCATCAGTATTTATATGGAGGTGCTGGATGTATTTTCTGCATAGATGTTTCCTGTACATGTCTGTACTTGTACAACAGACCATATTTGGTCTGTTATACCAGTGTTATCGATATACTCTGGGTGGGAATCAACAGGATGATTATTTTCAGGTCCTCACTCTTTCCTTGTATGGGGCTTTGCAATTACCATGGAATAGGCTTAACAAGCCTGCAGTTACAGCACTATATATGATCACAAAAAACATGGAAGCATTTTGAACTGTTTTAAAGTACTCTGCTTGGTCTCTAGAGCAGTGGCTCTCAACCTCTTCAGACTCAAGCCACCCCTCAATAGACTCTAGGCACCCCTCAAAAACGCCAGCTCTTCATTTTCATTTGCTTTTTGTATGCAGTAACATAATAGATCAATTTTCCTGTTGGAAAAAAGTCAGTACACCACAACAGGTCAAAGTGGTTTTAAGGATGAAAGATACCTATTTGAAATCTTTGGGTTTATCTTGTGAATCATGTTTGCACGCTGCAGCACCCTGGTTGAGAATCACTGCTCTGGAGCTTGAGAAAGCTCCTGCAGAAAAAAAAACATTTTAGGACACTCAAACCTGTAAAGAAATCTTGCTAAACCAATGCAGATTTTCCCTTTAAACATACATGTATTTGTTGTTCTTGACTCTCAACATTTCAAACACCCCTAATTTAAAGAACCCCTCTGTGCTTTTGCAATGACTCATCTTCACCTGCAGTAGGGTGACTCATGCATCCATGCCTGTGGCTCATTGGCTGTCCTGCCTTCGCTTTTAATTGGGCACACTATACAGGAAGCTGTTCAGCTAGGTAGGGGACTTGCAAGGAAAAAACAGTCTGCTCAGTGTGGCTGAGCTGTGAAACATTGTCTACAACTCCTGACCTGGCCTCATGAAATCTGGTCTCGGGATACCACTAGCCAGTGATTCCAGACTTGCCTATTCCATAATATGCCCTTGCATCATCTGTGTTCCTTCCACACCCCTCGAATTTTCCTGTATCCTGGTTTTATACCACCTGCCTGTTCTGCCACTCTGCTCTCCAATGATCAACATGGCTAAGAGACTTCCCACTCAGTGCCTCCCTCTCAGGTGTTCAGTAGTCCCTTAAAATCATCCTGTGCCCCTCCAAGCTCCTCAAACCTGCCAACCTCTGTCTTCTCCTCTCTGCCTTTTACCACACCCTTGCCTTTCACCTCTGCTCAGCAGGTACAGCAGCAGTATCCAGTCAGCTGTTAACAGTGGTTGTCACTCTCCGAAGGGTGGGATGAATTGCTCTCTCAGCCGTGGGCTGTAGAATGCTAGAAACACAAGGAGGGGTTTTAAGAGACAAACCAACTGCACGGTTCCCTAGCAGTTCCTGTTTGCTCCAGCAATAATGGCAGGGCTGGACTGCACGCGCTTTCACAGCTCTCTCTCATCCATGGAAAATCCCAGTTGGAATCTGAAAAATCAGCACCATACTCTTCCCGCGGGGCCCTCTAAACTGCACCTTGGCAGTAACAGACATGGCATCTGCTGAGGACTGGGCAAGATGAATCCCATGATTACTGCTAGGGACTGGTTAAGAATCAAGTGCATTCTCCATCGCAGCCCAGGAGTTAACTGCTGTATCCTATTTAGGCAGAAAGCAGGGCAGGTTACCACCTTATAAACCAATTCATTCAGTTAATCTAAAGGGTGCCACCTCACCCTGTCTTCTACCAGCTTTGGACAAATATGGCTAACTACCTCTCTGTATCTGATTTAAACATGATTGTCAGTTGTTGCATATATTTCTACAGGATCTACCGCAAGGGGGCTGTGATCTGGTTGAGACTTGTCAGTGCTACTATGCTACACATTAAAACAACAACAGCTTCAATGAAAGAGCATTCAAATCCAGCAGGTCAAATACATTTGGTTTATTTCTCTCTAAAGTTTGTACATATACATATATCATATACATATGTGAAATCCTTCACTGCTTCGCTCTATTTCAATGACATAAAAATCATTTGGAAGGCTGTAGACTCTTTGTTGCTCTAAAGCAACATTATTCCGACTTATAAAAACACAGAGGAACAGAGTAATAGTCATGAACATGTACACAAGAGAGAACTCTACTATGTCTCACAGTTTCAATACATCAGAGGTGAATTATTTGTCTGCATACCATAGGCTTACTCCAGCAATGATAAAATGGAAGGAAATATTTATTTACAGTCACCTTGAATGAAAAATAAAGCAATGTAAACTTAATTTCAAAATATTATTTAAACGATATAACAATATCCACGTGAGTCCTTTTTCCCAGTGGGAGAGAGGACATTTTATAAGTGCTTTCATTTGCCAGAAAATTATCATTCTAGTACCTGTTCTGTGGAATAGCATAGGAGATCCAAGGGTGTCCTATGGTACCAACAGAAAAAAAGTAATGCCTCAATTCAGGAAAGCATTATTATTCAAGCAGGTACATGGGTAGGCCCATGTACACCCATGGCGCTTCAGCAAAAGCAAAAATGCTTTCATGAATCGGGGCCAGTGCCTGGTCTGCATAGCTCTGACTGACTGCTGAGTTGAAAGTGGGCTGTTGCACCTCTATCCATGCTTATTGGACAGGGCCTGCACCAGCCTGAAATAGGGTTGGAGCAGCAGGTTTTATTTCATGGAAGAAGGGCTGGAGATCCCCTCAGTTCTGCTCCATTATAGACCAAACGGTTGAGCAGTGAGTGCTAAAAAAGGGACAGATCTCTTTAACATGCCCATGTAAACACATCCACTGGGACCTAAAAGCAAACAAATATGATATGGGATTACAGAGGGGAGGTTCTTGTACTAGCAAATGGGCACAGAGTAACAGCTGGAGAACAAGATAACAGCCTGGGCTTCTTGGGCCCACCAGGGGCCACCCTTGACCCTGCTCTACTCATTACTGATGCCTCAGACCCCAGTTCCAGTAAGGTTTGGTCTGTATCAGTGGGGTCGCTTAACTGTGTGCGACTGTGTATGCACATGTGCATGCATACATGTGTGTGCATGTGCATATAGCATCTTCTGCAGTGCTTCCACTGAGCATTAAAACTTCTACACAGGTACTGAGTGTGACCTCAGCAATATTCCTTATTCCACAGAAAGAAAGACCACAGCGTCTCAGGTGTAGTAAGTTGTGGATACTCCTGGCCCTGATCTAGTGAATTGTTTAGGCTTGGCCTCAGTGTGGCTGCTAACACTCTTAAAGTTAAGCGCAGGCAAAAGTGCTTTGCCTGTCAAAACAGGATCCGGCCCTACATCCCCTTTTCCTCTTCACTGTTTGGGGCCATTCTAATATTCCAAAAGCTTTGGCATGGCTTAGATGTTAATATGCAAGGCCTTTTATGATGCATGTACCAGGGCTAACAGCTTCTTCTGACTGCTTAAACTTTCCAAAGGCAACATATGGGAGTCACTGAAAATGCCCAAGGCTAATATATGACCTCTGCCACTCTGCTGTTGATGAACCAAATGGATTCTCAGGCCAATCTCTGCAATAGTTTAAATAAAATTAAATGAAATAAAACACAATAAAAATAAACCTGTTGCTACTTTCACACAAGCACAATCAAGTGACTTGGGCACCTGTGTCACTGAGATGCTTTGGAAAATTCTACCCTGGGTTGACTCTTCACAGAGTTAGGCCAAAGTCTTTGAAAACAGGAGCTGGAAATCAAGATTTCTCGGGTGGAATTTTCAAAAGTACTTAGTGCTGGTCTAATTCTGGTCCCACTGAAGTCAATGACAGATATCCACAAAAGCCAGCAGCGCAACAATGTTGCTTTTCTAAATCTCACCCATCCTCCTTATTCAGGCTCCTAAATAAATAACTTGATTTTCAAGCATGCTGAACAAATGCCAGCTCCTGCTGAAATCCACATCTTGGCAAAGACAGATTAAGGAATATGCTAAATCTGCAGAAGCTTTGAGAGCCATTTAACTAAAACCAATAAACAATAAAAACAAGCAACATCCAATAACAATTCATAGCTATTAAACTGTTTGGGTAGGAATGAAGCATCAGAAAAGAAGCCATAAACTTTGCAGAGTTCAATCACAGAAGCCATATATCACAACTCTCTCTCTCTCTCTCACACACACACACACACACACGTGTGCATACTGCATAAAGATACTCAAGAGGCAATGTCATGTAACTTGGTTTTTTTAATCTCCACTGGTACTTTGAGACAAGCAGCTATCTCCAAGATTTAAAACTGTCAAGAAATTCTTGTTTCGTTTTTACAAGACTGTTTCCTCCCTGAGTTATGCAGTGTCACTCACAGCTCTAAGCTCCATGAAACAGATACAAATACAAAATGGCCCTCATTCCATCCTCCAACTTTTCAGTTTTATTGAACTCAAAGTGGGGCTTTCAAAAGTACGGGAAGTGACTTAACGTCTAAAGGACAAAGGGACTTGTGCTCTTAAGTCACTCGAGCCTTTTGAAAGTCCCTGTGTGTATTTTCCCCAAATGCTGCAGGCTGGATTTAAAGAATCTCCTTATTTTCAGCAGATGGCGTCATCAAGGCGCATGAAAGCTCTGAGTCAAATAAATCTCTACTGCGACTTGGCTGACTGCCATGGAATCATGTCAGGGATTCATTTGGCTCATTGTGGGACTGAACATTTTGCCTACTTTTTTTTTTTTTTTAATTTGACCAATAAAAGGCTGAGAATATGGGCCTTGGCCCTGGCTTGGATGTCACTTACATGAGTGGTATCTGGGTATATCATCATGGAGTTACCACTAATTAGCACTGGGTTAAATCAGATGAGAATCCTGCCCTTTCTGTTTTCTTATCGCAGCACTAGCATGTCATTAATTCTCATTCAGCCACACACTGTGTTCTCTCTGCAAATGAAATGTTGGTCTCTGTTTATCCAAATCACAGATGAATCTGAACATTAGATGTCACAAGGTGGCCTCTCCTTATCAATAAGTTACTAGCTTTCCAAAATACCACACCTATACAGGTAACAATTTTGAACTCCCTTAAACTATGGGAGCAGAGTCAAGTCAATGGCAAATGCTTTGCCAAACTCTAGCCTACATTCACTAATATTCTGTGGAGAGTTATAAGATAAATAATTAAAATAAACTCAGTGCAGATGACAAAACAAACAAACAAGATACATTTTATCATGCATGAGCCTTGCTCCTTTCAACATTTGTTCGCTTGCTAATTAGCAACCTTCTGTCATTTGCTATAGATGTCACGGGAAGGCTTCCTAATGCTACATTTTTCTAGCTCTTCTGTTAATTCCTATAATACTGAAAAAGAAGTGCTGCTCTGCATATGTGTTGGAGTTGGGAGTAGGGGGAAGAGCAGTCAGAGAACACTAATAATGCCTGGCTCTTACATAGCACTAAACAGTAGATCTCAATGCGGTTTACAAGGAAGTCTGAATCACTATCCCATTTTTTAAGATGAGGGAAAAGAGGCACATGGATGAAACGACTTGATAAACATGACTTAGCAGGCCACTGGTAGAACCAGAAATCAAATCCAGGCTCCTGAGTTCAAATCAACAATTCAGTAGGGCACAAATGGCTACCTACCAGAGGAGCAGTGGTTCACTGTATCTTTTCTGTGCTCACTCCTGTGGGATATTTCCTTCTCACTGCTGGCCCTCTCAAACAGAAGAGCAGGACCTTTTGCAGCTGCACACATCCCATTTCACTGCAGCAAGCATTCAGGTCAGAGTTACAAGGGCTGTGAAAACCCAAGTCCTACCATTCCTCGTACTAAACCCAAGAACCGTGTGAGACTTCCCAGGGGAAAGCAGGCAGGCCACGTGCCTATACAGAAGAATTGACCCCCTGGAACCAAGGATACCATAGGAAATACCTGGTTTTCTTTTTTGAGATAGTCTCTGCATATTTCCATCTGGGGCAACCTGGTGCCCTGCATAAGACTCAGCTCAGGAATTCTCATCCAGTGGAAAACACATCTAAGCACCCCCGGGGGACAGCTAAACAACGGCTCCAAGCCTGCTGTCTAAGAGCAAGCTCCAGATGCCCCGCAGAAACTTCAGCACTGGGTAAGCACACAAGCAAGTAGCAGAGGATGGAAATGCTGCTGGCACAAGCTGTAGACAGTCAAAAGAGGCCTTTGAACCTGGACTCATGACAATTTATCTAGTATTTCTCTATCCATCTCCTAATCTGCCTGGAGGACTGATGAATGGAAATAGCAATCTTACACTGACTCCCCAAGGCTGCAAAACATCCAATTCTGAAATACCCAAGACCGAAACAAATCTCCCTAGTTTCACAACTAGCACATGGTTTATACTGTTGCTTGAGAGAGAGTAAGGTTTTGGAAAGAGAACTGGGGTCAAACGACACCTTGCTGGGGTCATTTGACCCCAGTACTCTTTCCTGCCATGGCAGGGGGTCGGATTCGATAATCTACTCAGGTCCCTTCCAACCCTAGAAACTATGAAACTATATCATGGTGGGATTCACAGGGGGGAACATAATCTTGGGTCTAACTTTGGGGCAAAGATAGTGGGCACCTTTTGTCTCTGTAAGCTACAGCGAGAGGAGAACCAGCTATGGAAGTCCTTAGTCACCTCCCAGATGGGCTTGTGATCAGAAATGTAGCCTAGAGCAGTAGGCCAAATAAAGAGCACAGCACCAAAGGACAGGATGCCGAGCCTGTCAACCTTGGTAGCCACTGGCTCCAGTACTGCCAGGGAATGGGCACTCTCATGGTGAGAAGATGCCAACCATAGCTGTCAAAGTCATTTTGTGCCAGTGGAAGGAACGAGACTGAAAGAATCATCCGTGGGCACAGGATACACTGAGATAGTAAAAGGCGCACCCTGAAAAAGGTGAGGGGAAGCTGGGCAATGATAAATAGGGCAAAACTGATCACAGGGATGTGAAATGTAGGTGCAGAGAGCCAATTCCCCGCCTATTGGGAAAGCTGTTGCCCATTTCTCAAAACAACACTCCAGTGCAATTCCCAGAAGTGAAAGGGTGCTGTCAGCATCTTCCCTCCTTCTAAGCATCTCACCATCTTGTTGCTGATGTGACTGTCCTGTCAAAGGCCTGCTGGCTTTGGGCCAGGAATACTGTCTGAGAAAAGCTGCTGCTGCTGCTCACCTTGGAAAAGGACAAAGCTGAAACAGCAAGGAAATGTGGGCCTTGAACCTCCTTAGCCCCCCGAGTCCATGCGAGAAGAGGAGACTTGTAGGCTCGCCAAAAGGCTTCTATCCACACAGAGGTGTTCAATCCACAAATGGACACAAACAAAAAGATGCCTCTCCAGAAAAGGAGTACTGTGATGCTTAGAAACAATCCCTCAACCATTTCCAAATACTCAGCTATTCTAAAAAAAAAAAAAAAAGAGTTGTGACCTACACTCCAGGGAAATTATAGCCCCCAAAAACTCAGCCAGATTCATCATCAGCAATTAGCTGGCTGATTTAATGATCAATCTACCCAACATTAAGGAAACAACAAGAAGATGGGTCTGAAAAGCTTAGGGTGCCCATATGTGACAATGTGAAACCCTTGACACTGCCTCCCCACCCCCCACCGCCTCTCAAGTCAACAGTGCTGCTGCAGGCAAAGACAGGGGTCAGTGGTGATGGTGCAGCTCTGGTATTACTATTCAGGCAGCTAAGGGAGTCAATGGCAGGTTAATGACCCATTCTTGTTTACTTCACAGGTGTTAACCATTATCTCCCCTA